CGCTCTGAGCTGAGAGGGGGCCAGGGTGGAACCCGGCCATTTGGGCGTCTCGCCGCCCTCCTCCTCTCCCCCGGCCTCGCCGAGCGGGAGCCGAGCCGGGCATCCAGCACACTGCCCTCCCCCCAGTGCCCCTCCAGACCCCAGCACCTCCCTTTGTCCCCACAGGGAGCTCCTGCCTGGCCTGGCCGGGTCCTTCCTGCCCTCGGACCTGGAGCCGGGCTTGGACAGCCTCCTGCGAGGCATTGCCAAGGCGGGTAAGAGACCGGGGGTCCCTGGGCCACCTCTGGGTCCCCTGACCTCCCTCTAAACCCCAACACCCCTAGGCTCCCTGGTACACCCTTGGGCTCCTCCGCAGCCCTCATATGCCCCTGTCCCATGCTGATACACCCCGGGTCCCCGATCCCGCTCTGAGGCCCCTCTCTGGGCTTCCCCATCCGTTCAGCGGCACTGTAGATCCCAAGCCTCACTGTGTCTCTTCAGGTTGGGGTGCATTGTCTGAGACCAAGGCCACCTCCCCTATCCTGCATCTCATGTGTCTCTGGGGACTCCCTCATCCCCTCTGTGCTCCCTCAGAACCTGGGTCTCCCCGTGTTCTGCATCTGAGCACCTCTCTGCCCCCCAGTACTCCCACCTTCCCTCTCAGATCTTCTCTATCCCCACCAATCTGGGGTTCCCCTGTTCCTCCTATTCAGGGTACCCACTGTCCTTCCAGAGCCCAGGTCCTTCCAACCCCAGTAGATCTCAGTTCTTTCCCCCACATCCTGGGTCCCCTGCCAGGTCCCAGGTCCCACGCATTCCTCTGCCTCCCACACAGGTCTGTTCCCCAACCTCGTTCTGCTGGACCCAGCCATGACTGCCCGGACCCTACGCTTGGCTCTGCCCCCCACCTGGACGTCCCAGCCTTCAACCCCAGTGACCTGGTGCCCGGCGCAAGGCCCCCCGCAGCCCCCAGCCTCCTGGTTCCCAGCCCTGTGGCAATTCCTGGCCCACCACGTGGAAGACCTGGGCACTCTGGAGGGGCTCCCTCTCATCCCCCTCTCCCCACTTGGTGCCCCCAGCATCTCTCTGGCTCTGCTGATACCCCAGTCCGGTCTTATCTTCCAGGCATGGGATGACCAGAGCCTGCCGCCTGCTGTGGCCACTGTCCTGGAAGCCCTGGGATGCCCAGTGGTGCGGCCAGGCACGTGGCACCGCTCCCTGTCCCGCTACGTCCTGCCTCCATCGCCCCTCAATGCCCTGCGGGCCCTGGGCAGGCGAGGGGCTGCTGCTGTGGCCTCCCGCCTGGCCTCGCTGCCCGCCCTGGACGTGGTCACTCTCCGGCTCTACCCTGGCAGACCTCCCGTCCCTGACAAAGGAGGACAGGGCCACGCTGGCTGCTCTGCCGCTCTTCATGCCGCTGCCCTGCTTGGCCACCCCGCAGCCCACGGAGCTGGTACCGGCCGGTGCCAACGCAGCGCTGGAGCCAGAGCTGGAGCTGCCCAGAGACGTGCTGCTGCCGGAGACCGTGCTGCAGTGCCGGGATGACGTTGACCGGCAGCTCCTGGGAAGGCTTCAGACATCCCTCGTCAGTGCAGCCCACGTGGCTCTGGAGGCCATCAGAGCCGTGGCCCGGGGCACCTACGCAGGGCAGGCAGCCGAGACCCAGGCTCTGCTGCTGTGGGTGCCGGCGCACCGCGGCGGCCTCTTCGCG